GCTAGTGTAAAGATTTGAGATAGTAAGACTGCTCCTTTCACTTATCTAGTCTTTTAAATAAACCAAAGTCAAATTTGGAGTCCTGGTGTGGTGCTGTAGGATAAGCAGTGGATTTCTAGCCGTAAGGTTGGCAGTTCAAACATACCAGCCACTCCTTTGAAACCCTATATAGGGTTGCTAGGAGTTGGAACCTGCATTTAACAATAACAACAAAGTCAAATTGACCTCCAATGCCAGTATTAACGACTAGATGTGCCCTTCAGAAGAAAGAGGCTGTCTGTCATGTAGCTCGGGTTCCGACTGGGCTCTTTGCGAAAGCAGTGCCTCAGAAATGGGAGAAGTGGCTCTGGTCTAATGTGTGAGTGTTGAGAACTCTGGTCTTCCTGGCAAAGTAGGTCAGGAATCCTTGACATCTTTTTCTGCCTTAGCGAGTTGGTGACGCTTCAGACAGCTGAGATAATTTTGGGTATGGATGTGGGCACAGTAAATGCATTTTTTAAAAATGGATGGCTTAGACAAGGAGGAGAGAAGCTTTTTAATTGAAGTAGAATGATCTTCCAGAAAGCTGGTGAAAAAATTTGCTGGTATTTTTACAAATTGGCAGCCTTGTTAAATTAGCTAATCTGCAGTGCCAGCTTTGAGAAGAACAGATGTCCCTGTGCATTGTAAGGTAACATGCTTTGGCTCCAAACACCAAATGGTGCCCTCAGTCTGGTGTCCCAGATGATAGAAGAGAGGGCTGAAACTATTGGTTTGGAATTGAAACCGTTTGCATGGATTTTGAGTTGAGGTTTTTAGCAGCATTTCTATACTATTGTCCCAGACCCATGGTGTTTAGGAATTCACAATTCAGTTTCACATATTCACATGAGACTCTATAGTTTCATGCTGTGTGATAGTTTATTACTTAACTGAGACAGGAGTTTGAGTTATAACACTGGGCTGGTGTGGGGGTGGACTTCTCAGCTAATAAATCAATCAATTCCATTCCATAGCAACTGAATCTCATAACTATATTATTGTTTCCTCTTTCTTGTGAAGAAAATTGTGTTAGAAGAGCATTTCCCAGAGCATTACTAAGTAATATGACTTAATACTTAATACTTGGGAGTCCTGGTGTGGCACTGTAGGATAAGCACTGGACTGCAAGGTCGTTTCAGTTGCAAAGTCAGCAGTTCAAACTTGCCAGCTGTTCCTTGGAAACTATTCTAGGGTCACTATAAGTCGGAATGGACTTGAGAGCACTTAACAACAACTTAATACTTACTAAGAGTTCTATGATAATGAGAAAACACTTTTAGCGTTGAACAAACTTAAAGGTAATCTATACTTCAGGATTTCTGGTAACTTTCAACATTGCTGAAATAATGTGTTAAAGTAGAAAATATATTTACAGTTTTCTCGTACCTACTTGTCCAAAGCAATGCCCCTTCCAGTAAAAGGCTAAACTAACTGAGAGGTGGGATTGAACCTAGATTAATTGTGCATGTCTGCTTTGAATATTTGTCAGATTGAATTCCAAAGCTAAATGTTTCATTGTAATATGTACTCCTACTTGGAGTTCCCGTCTTCTCCCTGCCTAGAGAAAGACTTGCTCACATGTGCAAAGCTTTCCTCAACATGCTGTGTTGTCCTTAAATCAAGCCACCTTGCCCTCGACTTTCTCCTTGATGGTTGACTATCTGCAGATCACGGGACTGCGCAGGTGCAGCTGTAGGACTTAAATTTCTGAAGGGCTGAATGTACCCATGCGCTACACCTTGTTAGAGCTATTCATTCTAATGTGGAGTATAAATTGGCAGTGAGATAGGATGCAGAACACTGAGAGTTTTGTGCTTCTGCCTTATGGGTACATGCCCTCTGTGGACTATGAGTACATGTGGATTGAGCAGGGTGAGATATTCATGCTATATATTAAATGATGTCAGGGGTGTCCCAGGCTAGAAAGAAGCTGTCTTATAACGACACTATCATTTTTTAAATCATCTGGGCTTGAATCTTTGATCATATTAACTTTTCCCTATCTCCCTCTTCCTACCTGCCCACTCAGCTTCAGAGCTTACTGGTTGTACCTCTGGAATGATATCCAAGTGCATTGTCTCCCCATTTCCACTACCTGCCCTGTAGTTCAGGCTCCACACTACATCTCCCAAATGGTTTTGTAGCAGCTTCCAAACTAGTTCCTCTCATTTTCCCTCCTCACTTTGTTGCAGCTTTGCAGTTTACCTGCTGTAAAACATCCATTGATTGCCTTACCATGCCCTTCAGAAAGAAGTTCAAAGGTGTTCCTGTGGCTCTGAAGATGTTTTATAATTATTGCCCAGTTTACTATTCTGAACTTGTTACTCTTTCTTTCCCTTTGTATAATCCAACAATTAAAAAAAAAAAGATACCCAATCTTGATATCACCCATGTGAAAGTGAAGTGGTTCTTTACTCTATAATACATTGTACTTCTTGCTCTTCACCCTGCTTTCCAGCCTTGTTAAGGCCTGCCCTCTGCTTGGGGCTCCCTTCCTCCCACCTCAACAAACCTTTGTATCCTTCTAGGCCCATTGTTGTTGTTATGTGCTGTGCAGTCGGTTCCAACTCAAAGCGACCCTGTACTGGGTTTCCGAGGCTATAATTCTTTATGTGAGCAGAAAGCCTCATCTTTCTCCCGCGGAACAGCTGGTGGTTTCCAACTGCTGACCTTGAGGTTCGCAGCCCGATCATAACCACTACGCTACCAGAGCTCCTTAGCAAATGCTGTATCCTCTCGGAATATTCCAGCTCCCTTCAAATTAAAATGTCACTCAATCTTCATCAAACTTAGTTAATACTATTTCATTTATGATACTACTTTCCCCTTGATTAATATGTCTTATCCCTCCTATTAATGTGTATCTGAACGTTGGATTCTGTGTTCTGAAAACCTCTTGGTGCAGTAGACTTGAATGGATGCAGAAGAAAGCAGGTAGAAGAATTTGTTTTTGTTGTTGTTAGGTGCCATTGTGTCGGTACCGACCCATAGCAACCTTATGCACAGCAGATGAGTGGAAAACACACATACTTTCCAATCATTTAAAGTGAATCGCCATAACTTTGTATTTTTTGGAGACATCCGAGGCTTCCAGCCATACCAGGATAAAATTCCCAGACCTCCAGGCTTGTGTTTATACAGTTTTCTTTGCCTAAAATGCCTATATCCCTCATTGTCTTTCTTTTTCCCAAGATATATCTCAGGTGTGTCGCTGCATCTCAGACGCCTTCTCCAGTTCCTCTAGGCAGGGTCAGTTGGTCCATAGAGAATACTCCATTGTTACACATACTCCTTTTACTGTAGGTGATCTTTGTTTTTCTCCCAATAAAAATGTTGTTGTTGGTAAGTGCCCTCAAGTCAGTTCTGACTCATAGTGACAACGTATAGGGTTTAGAAAGGAGCCGCTGGTGAGTTTGAATGGTCTCATGCAGTATCCCACAGCGCCACACCAGGCCTCCAATAAAAACTGTAAACTTTGATAATATTTAAAAATAACAACCTATACTTGCTATGTGCACCATTTTTGCCATGTTGTTAGGTGCCATTGAATCTGTACCAACTCCTAGCGACCCTATGCACAACAGAACAAAACACTGCCTGGTCCTGGGCTAACCTGACAATTGTCGCCACATTTATACACGTGTGTGTTATACTTTTTGCACGCCAAATGACCCCCTTCATGCATTAATTTCCTATGTTTGCTATATATGTGAAAAATATGGTAGTCTCTACAGCAGGCGTGGCGAACCTTTTTTTCTGCCAAGGGTCATTTGGATCTTGATCACATCATTCATGAGCCATACAAATTAATCAACTTGAACATGAGCCTGCTATGTTTGAATGGCTAGAACTGGAACTGCAGTTGCCTCAGAAGGGCCCACCAAACGGTTTCATAGACGCCCCCACCCCTGTTCTATAGCACACACATATAATAGACACCATTATTGTTTCCGGTTTATGTATGGGTGGTAGGGAAACTGAGCTTTGGGCAGTCGAGGTTACTTCTCTGCAGTCACAAAACTAAGGGAGGTTAGAGATAGGTTCTGAAGTTAGACTTGAGAACCTGAATTCTTAGGCTCTGTCAAGTGTCTTGTCTTTGTTCCGCTGTGTATCACTGTCACCTAGTACACAGTGTTAGATACTATCAAGTCATATGAAAATACAACTGCCTCACAGGGTTTTCTGGGTTCTAATCCTTATGGAAAGAGATTGTTGCCAGCCAGGCCTTTCTCTTACAGAGCCACTGGCTGGGCTTCACGTGCCAACCTTTTGGTTAACAACTGAGTGCTTTAATCATTTGTTCCACCAGAGCTTCTTTAACACACAGTATGACGCTGTAGTATCAGCACTGGACTGCGAACCACAAGGTCGGCAGTTCAAACCCAGCAGCTGCCCCTCAAAAGCCCTATATAAGGTCATTATGAATCGGAACCAACTCAACGGTACTTCACAACACCCCCAAAACCCACTGTCTTTGAGTGGTTGAAACCTTATATAGGGTTTCTGAGACTGTCAGTCTTTATGGGTTCAGATAGCCTCATTTTTCTCCCTTGAAGCAAATGGTGGATTTGAACCACTGACCTTGCAATTAGCAGCCTGATGCCTAACCCACAGCACCACCAGGGCTCCTTTTAACACATAGTGGTGGTGTTAAGTGCTGTTGAGTCGGTTCCGATTCATAGTAACCCTGTGTAGGGTTCCCAAGGAGCAGTTGGTGGGTTTCAACTGCTGACCTTGCAGTTAGTAGTCCAGTGCTTATCCTAGAGCGCCACACCAGACCTCATAAATATTTGTTAGATAATGGAATAATTATTGCCATTGTCTCTATATTCCTTGTGTCTCTCAATTCATAGAGGTTAGTGGGAAATGAATAATGGTTTCTTTTTTCGTTGGCAGGAATTTGAGCCCTGGGGCATGACTACAGGTGGTCAGCTCTTCCGTTCTTGGCTGTGTTAACAGGACCCTTCCCAGGAAGCATCATGGCTGCCGCAGCCGCTTCCCATCTGAACCTGGATGCCCTCCGCGAAGTGCTGGAATGTCCCATCTGCATGGAGTCCTTCACTGAGGAGCAGCTGCGGCCCAAGCTCCTACACTGTGGTCACACCATCTGCCGCCAGTGCCTGGAGAAGCTACTGGCCAGTAGCATCAATGGCGTCCGCTGTCCCTTTTGCAGCAAGATCACTCGCATAACCAGCCTGACCCAGCTGACGGACAACCTGACCGTGCTGAAGATCATTGACACAGCTGGCCTCAGTGAGGCCGTGGGGCTGCTCATGTGCCGCTCCTGTGGGCGCCGACTACCCCGGCAGTTCTGCCGGACCTGTGGTGTGGTGTTGTGTGAGCCGTGCCGGGAGCTGGACCACCAGCCTCCTGACCACTGCACGCTCCCTGTGAAAGAGGCAGCTGAGGAGCGGCGTCGGGACTTTGGGGAGAAGTTGGCTCGTCTGCGGGAGCTTATGGGGGAGCTACAGCGGCGGAAGGTCGCCTTGGAAGGTGTCTCTAAGGACCTTCAGGCAAGGTATAAAGCGGTTCTCCAGGAATACGGGCATGAGGAGCGCAGAGTGCAGGAGGAGCTGGCTCGCTCCCGGAAGTTCTTCACAGGCTCCCTGGCTGAGGTCGAAAAGTCCAATAGCCAAGTGCTGGAGGAGCAGAGTTACCTACTTAACATTGCGGAAGTGCAGGCTGTGTCTCGCTGTGACTACTTCCTGGCCAAGATCAAGCAAGCTGATGTCGCACTCCTGGAGGAGACAGCTGATGAGGAGGAGCCAGAGCTCACTGCCAGTCTGCCCCGGGAGCTCACCCTGCAGGACGTGGAGCTCCTCAAGGTAGGTCATGTTGGCCCACTCCAAATCGGGCAGGCGGTTAAGAAGCCCCGGACAGTCAACATGGAAGATTCCTGGGCCATGGAGGCTGCGGCCTCTGCTGCCTCCGGCTCTGTTACATTTAGAGAGATGGACATGAGCCCTGAGGAAGTGGTTGCCAGCCCTAGGTCCTCTCCTGCTAAGCAGCGCGGTTCGGAGACGGCTTCCAGTATTCAGCAGTGTCTCTTTCTCAAGAAGATGGGGGCCAAAGGCAGCACCCCAGGCATGTTCAACCTTCCAGTCAGTCTCTATGTGACCAGTCAAGGGGAAGTGCTCGTGGCTGACCGTGGCAACTACCGTATACAGGTCTTTACCCGCAAGGGCTTCCTGAAGGAGATCCGCCGCAGCCCCAGCGGCATCGATAGCTTTGTACTGAGCTTCCTTGGCGCTGATTTGCCCAATCTTACTCCTCTCTCAGTGGCCATGAACTGCCACGGACTGATTGGTGTGACTGACAGCTATGACAACTCCCTCAAAATATACACCTTGGATGGCCACTGTGTGGCCTGTCACCGGTGCCAGCTGAGCAAACCATGGGGCATCACAGCCCTGCCATCTGGCCAGTTTGTGGTAACTGACGTGGAAGGTGGTAAGCTCTGGTGTTTCACTGTGGACCGGGCAGCAGGGGTAGTCAAGTACAGCTGCCTCTGCAGTGCCGTGCGGCCCAAGTTTGTCACCTGTGATGCTGAGGGCACTGTCTACTTCACCCAGGGCTTAGGCCTCAACCTGGAGAACCGGCAGAACGAGCACCACCTGGAGGGTGGCTTTTCCATCGGCTCTGTGGGCCCGGACGGGCAGCTGGGTCGTCAGATCAGCCACTTCTTCTCGGAGAATGAGGATTTCCGCTGCATTGCTGGCATGTGTGTGGATGCCCGTGGTGACCTCATTGTGGCTGACAGCAGTCGCAAGGAGATTCTCCACTTTCCTAAGGGTGGAGGCTATAGTGTCCTTATTCGGGAGGGGCTCACCTGCCCAGTGGGCATTGCCCTCACTCCTAAAGGGCAGCTGCTGGTCTTGGACTGTTGGGATCATTGCATCAAGATCTATAGCTACCACCTGAGGAGATATTCCACCCCATAGGAGAGAAATAGCTGCTACTTCTCACACAGCTTCCCTTCTCTTCCTTTCTTATTTGGTGGTGGTATTGTAGAGTAGGCTCAGCCTGTACCCTGGTTCCAGCTGGCTCGTCCTAGAATTTTAGAAGCTCTGTCTTTTAGTGTTTTTCTTATTTGTAGTATTTTTTCCCCTAAATATACAGCTGTAACATGCATTTCCCCACTAGGACATATGATGAGCTTAGCTGAAATTTAATTAGATGTTAGGCACCTCCAGACTTCAGTAGAGAGAACCACTTTAACCTTTTCGTAGCTAGGTAGGCATTTTGTCCTGTGATGCATTCTTGTTGGTTTTCCTCTCTTTTGGCTTTGATGTGTCTGGCCCATTTCCTTCTTATTATAATGTGCTTCATCTTTGACCTTTTCTCTCCAATTCTGGCTGCATTCAGTGTGCATGCTCTAGTGCAGTGACAGTTCAGATGCCATTCCCCTGTGGCATCATGCCTCAGGTCAGATCGCCTTTCACCTCAACCAGTGTGATAGCTCATTCATTTAGTGCTACCAAGCGAGATCTACAGTCCTTTTGGGAAGCACTGCCTCTTGACTGGGGCATCTGTGTCATGTTGGATTGGTCTCTAATTGTAGACATGATGGAGAATGGATTGACTCTAGTTGGTTAGGGTTGAAGACTGGTCTGGAAAGAATTTGCCTTTTAAATGAGCATAGACTCGAATTATGTCAAAGGATAGAAAGATGAGAATAAGCAAACATGAATGCTAATGTCGTCAACAAATACTCTTGAGCTCATCGTTTTTCATACTACCTCTCTCCACTGACCTGTGCTAAGAGTTGTCTGTGAAACTACAACACAGATCAGGGCCAGCCAAGTGGGGAAGTGGACAGAACTCATCGTCAGTGCTAAAACAAACCAACTGTTGGGCCCTTACTATGTATTTTCTCCAAATACGTACATTATACTGGTTTTGGGATTCATTTCCATTCCTCTTGATGCATTAAATAATTGATAACTTTCTTCTCAACTGGTGTTGATGCCTTTTTAATTAAATATGGGATTTGAAGGGTGAGGAGGGAGATCATTTTTATCATGACCGTTTACTTCTGTATTTTAACACTACAGTTCTCAGAGAGTGTAACCATTATAAGGACCTGTTGTTGTTTGTTAGTGCCATCAAGTCAGTTCCAACTCATGGGGTCTGAGGCTATATATCTCTGTGGAGCAGAAAACTTCATCTTTCTCCCATGGAGCATCTAGTGGGCTCAAACAGCTGCTCTTGTGGTTAGCAGTCTAGTGCCTATTCTGCAGAGCCACAGCACTCCCATTATAGGGATCTACCACTGTCAAAATCCAGTCACAAGCACCATTAAGCAAAGGTAATTATAATGCATTTCCAGATTCACCTACTCAAGAATCAGTCTCCAAGGTGTTGAGTCGCCAACACCCTGTCTTAAGTTGAGTCTTTGCCACCTGTTTTCTCCTTAGAATTACAGTTAAAATAGGAAGAGGGCCTGTCCTTTTAAGACAAGCTTAGGGGTGAAGGAGTTTGGGCTGTGGCTCCTCAGGCTTTAGTTTTGACTGAGCATAGCTTGCTTTTTAGGTGTTGTGCTTATGGCAACCCAAAGAGCTGTTCTTGATTTCAGTGAAACAAAATTTGTTTTGCTGTGCGACTCAAAATTGCCTTTTGGGTTTATTTTACATATATACATACATAAATATATTTTTTCTGGCTTTTGGGATGGCTGTCAAAGAACACAGAAAGGGGGGTGATTAAAAAAATGTCAAACTAGTTTGCCTTTTTACTTTTCACCTGGAAAAAGTCCCATGCTCTGATTATGAAATTGCATCTAATTATCAAAGGACTGTGTAATTAAAAGGAAATTGATCCAGTTAAAAGTGCATCACAAACAACTCCATTCTAAAGCCACTTTGTCTGTGGTGCATCAGGTAACCTGTCTTTGCTGAGGCAGAAGTGGCCAAGGACTTTGACACATGGTTTGCAGCTGAGGAATGAATATAATATTGTAAGGTAACTTGAGGTAGGAGCTCTGGTGTGGCACTATTCTGAACCACAAGGTCGGTGGTTCAAACTCATCAGCTATTCCTCGAAAACCCTCCACAGGGTCGTTGTGAGTTGGAACCGACTTGACAGCACTTCACAACATGAAGAAGCTTGAGGTAAAGGAGACCAGGGCTCCTCCAGCTGTCGATACACTATCATTCAGCATTTAGATCAGACTTCATCTCTGAGCCATGCATATGTCGTGGCCTTCAAATACAGCAGCTGTCTGCTGCCTCAAAATGAAAGAAGGGTTGGACTGAATGCTTTTGTTTCTTTTTTCTCTGAATATTTTAGGCAGTGTTTACTACCATTTTCAGTGATCTGCCATGTTGGTTAAATTGTTAAGAGTATGGACCCCCAAAACTAATTTGCTCAGCTAAACAACCATTAAGCAGGAGTTCCCTTATTCAAGTAAAGCCTTACATGAAAATGTAAATCATGTGAACCAGATCAAAGAGCAGTGTGTCTGACTGAAGCAGGTTTGAGTGCGTTGTCCCTTCATACCTTAAACGTCCATGGTGCCATTGCCAAACTTGTGACTCTGCACAACATTCTCTATTTTCTGATGCCCACTGGACTACTAAGATTCCACTCTGGCTTCCTGGCTTTGTGGCCTTGGGCAAGTCATTTAACCCCCCTTGAGCCTTCTTTATTTCCTCATTGGGAAAATGAGGACTGTGATCCCTGTCTGCAGGAGCACATAAGGGAGCTAACATGAAAATATCTGGCTCAGTTCCTTACAGTAAAGGTGGTAATAAATAGTATCTTTCTGAGTTAATCAAAAGTGTGCTTTCGCAGGATGTGCCAAATAATACCCTCCCTCTTATCTAACAAGTTCCTTTTTGACAAAACTTTTCTCAGACATTTCCTGTTCCTGACCGCAAGCCTCCAAATCAATCTCATCACTTATTTTTACTCTTCTCATTTTTTTACTACGGCATAAATCATTCTGTGTTGCCATTTATCTGTCCATATACCTAGATGCCTATCAATTTGTGGTGCTGACCACAAGGTCAGCAGTTCAGATCCATCAGCTGCTTCTGGAAAATCCTATACAGGGTTACAATGAGTTGGAATTGACTCAAAGGCTCTTAACAACAGCAACAACAATTTTAATCTTGGCAATGGTGCCTTATAGACCATGTGTCTTCAGTTATTTAATTGACTTGATGGTTGTGGTGGGCCCCCCCAGTAATGATTAGGTTTTCCTTGCACAGCTTCCTTTGGATGCAAAGAATTCCAAGGCAAGACCTTTTGTAAGTTATATGGGAAACTAAAGGCACTTCATGACAGGTGAGCTACCTATAGTTGCAAGCCTCTGCTTCCTCTTAATACATGGGGGCCTCAAAAAGCTTGTGGGAAAAATCCCATTGTCTTACAATTTTCACTGAAGTTTTTATAGAGAGTTTAAGGTTTCCGAGCATTGCGGTTGAATGAATATTGAATGAATGCATTTCATTCAGCATGCATTCATTCAATATTTATTGAGCATCTACTGTGGGTCAGGCACTGTGTCAGGTGTTCAAAAAAGAAAAATAATGATAAGTAATGTGTCTACTGTCTCCTAACTACTTCCTAGCCTTTTCCTGCATGAAGTATTTGGAATCCACGATTGCCCTGGGCTTCCTCAAAGGCTGGCTGTAGGCAGTGCCTGAGTGATTGTGCAGGTCAACCCCAGTGCACATGGCAGTCTGAGAGGGCCATTTCATTATTCCAATCAGTGGGATAAACTTCAGTCTTACAGTGTTCTTGTGGGCATGGAATGTTTAAGTAGTTGTATTCTTAATTCAGTACTAATTAATGACCTCTTAAAAGTGAATTGGTACCCAGCTCTGTCTGAAGGGCATCGGAAGCATAACTTGGTATGAGACTCCTCACACCTGAAGAGGATGCTGATTTGCACTCAGAATGAGCAGCCCCTCAAGGGAATCTCAAAACAAATTACAGAAAGGAAGCAGCGGGTGCCTGGCTACATTTTGCAAGCCGAGCAGTGGTGAGGTGAGAGGCTGTCTAGCAAAATACACACTGAGGCTGCAAACCTAAGGCTTTGTCTCTTTAATATGAATGTCCATGGATCCCTGGACAAACAAAGTAGCTAAGGGACTTAGCTTACTATGACTTACCTTAGAATACTATGTATTCTCGTGGGGAAATCACTGGGTTTGGACTCAGGCCTGGGTCTGCCTCTTAACTAGCAGTAAGACATCAAATAAGTGCTCAGCATCACTGTGCCTGTTTGCTTATCTATAAAATAAGGAGGATGGGCTAATCACTAAAGTCAAATCTAATTAATTTGTTAGCAAGCTGTTGTTGTTAAGTGCCGTGGAGTTGGTTCCGACCCATAGCGACCCTGTATAGGGTTTCTGAGGAGTAGCTGGTGAGTTTGAACCACTGACCTTGTAGTTCAAACGGCTTTGCAGTCTGGCACATTAACCCATAGCACCACACCAGAACTGTTGAATTTCCCTGCCAATGTTTTGGCACGATCTGCTATAATGTTAGTGTATTATGTTTGCTTGAGAGAAGAAGGAACCTGCACTTCAGAAGCACCTTCACTTTTATCACTTTTAACAGTTGCTACTCTACCTCTGGTAGCGTAGTGGTTATGAATCGACTGCTAACCCCTAGGTCGGCAGTTCGGAACTACCAGCTGTCCCATGGGAGAAAGATGAGGCTTTCTGCTCTGGTAAAGATTTACAGCCTCGGAAACCTTGTGCAGGGTCACTGTGAGTCGGAACCGACTCCACGGTACTTAACAACTCTACCTCTAGTATTGTCACTTAGAGTCACTTACCAGTCATTGTCACCCTGCTGAGTATATTCCTTCTCTAGTCAAAGGGAACCAGCAGTTGATGTTCCAAAGGTTATGGTGAGAATTGTTGTCAAGTGCCATCGAGTCAGTTATGACCCATAGAGGCCCTGTATAGGGTTTCCGAGGAGCAGCTGG